TTTATATCTCTTTCTGGTGTTACACTTTGGTCACCTATTCTATCTTTCTATATTTTCTTCTTTTGTCTTGCCTTTGGTCCAGTATTTACCCTGCTGAGTAGATGGACTGAGTAAGAAGTAATATATTCACCAAAAAAGCAAAGATACTAAAGGGGAAATAAAGTCAATAAAATCAAAACTAGCTAGCAGTGTGAACCTGACTTCCTGGAAGGCATGACTTATCACCATCACCTATTTTTATCATCATCATCATCATCATCATCATCATCATCACCACCACCATCATCATCATCAGCACCACCATCATCATCATATATTATTATTTTTGTTGTTGTTATTCTTGCAAGTGCATTCTGCAGTTTGTCCTACAGCTGTGGTAAGATCATTGATCCCAACAGAAGAGGCGAGGAAAGTATATGGGATGAGAAGTAGAGAACAAATTTCTCCCTCTCCTATCATATTGGCAAAGTCTAGTTTCTTTTTTTAATTAATTAATTAATTTTTAGTGTTCAACATTCACTTCCACAAGATTTTGAGTTCCAAATTTTCTCTCCATCTCGTCCCTCCCCCCACCCCAAGATGGCAAGCATTCTGAATTACCCTTCTCCTAATCTACCCTCACTTCTATCTCTCCTCCCCTTCTCTTATCCCCTTCCCCTTCAATTTTCCTGTAGGGCAGGATAGATTTCTATACCCCATTTCCTGTATATCTTATTTCTCAGTTGCACGTGAAAACAATTTTTTTTAACTTTTGTTTTTAAAACTTTGGGTTCCAAATCAAACTCTAGTTTCTGAGACTGTGTTACTATATTTAACATCTTTGAGTACTATAATTCTTGATTTGTTATTCAATTAGAGTTTTCTATTGAACATTATTTTGAAAAGTACCTCTACAAGTACTTATAAAAATTATGTATTTGGACCAAAAAAAATTTTGTTTGAATGATGTTAGAAATTATAATGGAAATTATTGGAAAAGTATTATTCCATTTATGAAATTATATTTATGGGCAACTTTCCCAGGAATGCCTTTATTACATAAAGCAAGGCATAACTGTGTTGGATGAAATTGCTGCTCTTAATACAGCTTGTTTCAATGTGTACTCTCTAATCCATTTCCTTTTCTCAGTTCTAATCCAGAAGAAACCAGGCTTCTAATGAAATGCTTTCCTTACAAAACCATCTGTTATATTCTTTGCCTAGTGTAATTCAAACTAATTTAGCCACAGAATACTTTAGCATTTGAAATATTTTAACAGAATCCATAAATGAAAAGCTATGAGGTCAAAACCACAGACCGCTCTGAGTGTATTAGCCAGAGTTCCAACTTGGAGGATAGACTGGTGTCTTGGTAAGAGTAAACCACAAAGTGAAGGTTGGTGCTGAGGTGGCTGGTCTCCTTCAGTTTTTCCATTATAATTTTGGAGAGATCAAACATGTGTGTGTGTGTGTGTGTGTGTGTGTGTGTGTGAGATGTGACTATGTTAGGAGGAAGAGGGTGGACTAGGTTTTCTGTCTCTGCCTACACCTCTTTGAGGATGCGAGATCCTGTCAACAAATTTTCCTCCCTAACCCATCCCAACCTGGAAGAAGGGAGCGGGGTCTATGGCTTGGCACAGCAATCCTAACCCCATCAATTGTGGCTTTATCAGCTGATTTGAGAAAGTTATACAAAGGTGGAGTTTTAAAAAAATGAACAAATTGACATTTTATCAAGGAATCTTTATTTACACCATTGCAAAACACAGTTTAGGAAACATTGTTTTAGCTTCCTATTTTAAAAACTTAAAAACAAGAAGAAATGTGAGGGTTGACTTTTTTTTAGAGCAAAAAAATGTTCTCTGCTCAAAATGTTAATCACAGTGCTATTTTTTTTTCTATTCTAAGTCTTGTTACTATTGCAACACCATACACACCATCTTATGACCTTATATGTCTCTACATCTGTTCCCTCATTTTTAAATGGGGTTAAATTAGGGGACCTTAAGTCCTTCAGTTCTACAACAATGCAGCAATTCCTACCCAGTCTGCCTAACTCACCTAAGGACATATAATTCAAACTGTTTAAATACAAAACCTCTTAAATATATTTGTTTAATGGAAAAGTGGCCAAGACACAGGAAATTCATATATATTTGTGAAATGTCAATATCGCCTTCATTGGCTAAGCCTGAGAAAGTTCAAGGAAAACCCATCTCTTCCAATGATGCTTGCGTTGCTGCTCCCCAAAATAACAAAGTACTCAGAGAAGGTAAACTTCTCAAGGAAAATGTCAAGGTGGAAGGGACTTGAATGTCTGTTTTTCAGAAATCCTGAGTACTGGCAAGATCATGGAATTCTTCTTTAGAAAATTTTCTTACTATAAAGTCTCTGCTAAAATCTTTTTAAACACTTTGAAGTAGTATAAATACATTCAAGTTTTAACAAATAGACTGTGTAAATAGCATCATAGAATAGAAAGTGCCTAAAAATGTTATTTAGGGAGTCAGTCACTATTGAGTACCCACTGTACCAGGCTCCCTAACTATGCAATGGTTAATAACAATAGAAATACTGAATAGCAAAGCCAGGCTTTGAATTCAAATTGAATCCAATTCAAAACCAGGCCTTTCTAAGTTAAAGTCTCAATGCCATCCAATTTAACCATCATTTACCACGTATACATTATCATGGGACTAGATGCTGGTGATACAAAGATGAAGCACCTGGGTCCCTCCCTTTCTCCCCAAAGGGTGCCCCCAGAAAAGCAACAGCCTGTTCAAAATGCTCTGTGGGTACACATCCCCTCAAAACCATAGCTCAGGAGCCCCTAACGACAAATAGCTGTTGAATTTGATTAGATTCAAACTGCAAGAGGGGTCGGAGGTGTCTCCCTCATTGCAATGTGGGCTCCTTGAGGGCAGGGTTTGTGTTTTCACCTTTCTTAGTCTCCCCAGGGATACGAAACGTAATTGTCTGGCGGTTGATTGATTGGTTGATCAGAATTCAAGACCTTGCTTTGCTACTTCCTCTCTTATGGACCTTGGAACATGACACCTCCTGAGCCTGGGCCTCAGTTTCCCCATTTAGAAAAGGTGGAGATTGGATTAGATTTAGTTTAGGGTCCCTTCCTCCGAGCTCTAGGAGTCTATATGATCCTATGAAGCCCCTCCAACCTAGTTAGTGTAAGAGGTCTAAAGAGCCCTGGCTTTGGAGTCGGCAGAGCAGTTCTTCGGGCCACGCTCTGCTGAGTCCTTGTGGGACTGGACAGCTCACTTTAAAGTCACCTCCCCTCTCCGGGCCTCAGTTTCCTCCTCTGTAAAAGGACAAGGCAAACTCTAAATCCTATGGTCTAATGTGGCCATCCATTACTCGCCCCTGCCTCTTTCCGGACCTTTTAGCCCTCTCCCAACTTGGCTTTAATCCGCCGCAAAGTGCTGAAGCGCCCAGCGGGGGGGGGGGCCAGGGCGGGGGGGGGGGGGCGGGGGGCGGGGCTGAAGCAAGGCTGGGAAGGGGAGGGTTCCAAAGGAAGCCGGTTGCCAGGGTAACCAGAGGTGTAGTCGCGGGCACCCAGCGGAGCCACCTCATAGCTCGGGGTCCAGATCCAGGGGCTGGGGTGGGAGCAGAACAGCTACTCCCCAGGGCAGGCCCAAGGGGTTGCTCCCAAAACTGTGAGGGACTGGCAGGTCAAGACACCCAGGCAGGGGACCGGGACCGGCCGTGGAGTGAGAAAGCAGCAGCATAGGCGAGGTGAGAGCAGGAGGAGGGGACGGGCGAGCGGGGCGGGGCAGCCTCCTCCAGACCGCCTTCTCGCCTCCAGGCTGCCGGGGTTGGGGGTGGGGGGGAGTTCCCACGGTCTCTGCGCAGGCGTGTCGGAGAGTAGCGAGCGAGGACCGAGCCGCTGTAGGTGCTGGGCGCTGAGGCTTGTGGGTGTGGTCAGCTCCCTCGAGAGGAAGCGCCCTAGGCCAGGGGAGGCCTTAGGGGCGCAGAGAGGTCGAGCGGGGCTGCGCAGTTTAGTCATAACCCCCCAAAATGAACCTTGAAGATGCGTCCGCCACGTATAGTCCAGGGGCAGACTCGCTCACGCTTCCCTAGTTTACTTAAATGAAGGAATATTATTAATTAGGGGTATCAATATCCCAAGTTATTTAAGTTCTACGAAGTGTGGGGAACTGGAAGGGACATTAGAGGTCGTTGAGGCAAACCCCTTCATTTTACAGATGAAGAAACTGAGGCCCAGAGATGTGAATTGACTTGGCAGAAGCCAAATGTGTATGGAGAGCCTAATCCATTGCCCCTTTTCACTCTGTCAGCCCTCCAAACTGCAACTTTGTATGTTTTGCAAGACGATACGAATCAGCAAAGAGCCACGGACACAGTAGCCCAGGGGTTTCTAGACTTGGGGTCACTAGAGTGCGGAAGACCTAAGTTCAAATTCCATCTCCACCATTTGTTAGCTGGGTGATTATGGGCAAGTCGTTTCACCTGTCTTGCCTCAGTTTCTTCAACTGTAAAATGCGTAGGTGTAGTAGCACCTACCTCCCACGGTTATTTTCGGGATCAGATGAGGTCGTATTTTTCAAGCTCTTAGCACATAACATAGTAGGCACTTAATAAATTCTTGTTTCCTTCCTTCCTTCATTGTTATTCTCCCCAAACTGAAGCTTCAGCTTTTGGATCGCTAACATTTTGTCCAGGCCTTTCCTACTTGTAGTAGAGCTTGATCTGCAAATTTCTCAGGCTCCTTGATGGAATTCCTGACCTGGACTAGACCTAGTACTAAAACACAATCATTGATTTCCTGAAGAGGAGAACAAAAGTCACCAAATACCAAATTTGTATTTTGGTAAAGAATGATGCTGCAAAAAAAAAAAAAGTTTCAATTTCTTAATATCAACCAGGTATCCTCTAATAAAACATAAGGAAACTTGAGGTGTGGGGAGGAACAGAAGACAGTAAAGACACTTTGATCATTTTGTTTCCACTCTTTTCACAGTTATGGAATGCTAAAATAGGTATGAGATGCAGCTGTCGGAAATGAGTAAGCAGTTGATGGTGGTGGGTATCTGAGCGCAGTGGAAACTGGAAGAGATGTCAGTGTTGGAATGCTGAAGCATGTTGAGGTATTAGGGGAAGCACAACACAGAACAAGTCAAATAGACTAGTGAAACTAAGTGAATCTATTTATCTAAGATGCCAGAAGGCAGCCATAGCATATTCCCTTCTAACATTAAAATGTCAGAAAATGGAATAAAGTAGCCATGAGAATCCTTGGAAAATGTTTATAGCTCAAGATTGTATTCCTTGACTATCCTGACAAATATGGTAAAACTTTGACTGACTCCAGTACTTAAGGAAAGAATAGACTTTTGATTAATGGATTTCTGATTGATTCAATATATAGTGTACTCATATAATTTTCTGTATTTTATATTAATATAAATGCAATTTATTATTTGATGATTCAGTATGTTGCAGTAGGTTTAAGTTATCCTTTAGAACAAGTTCTTGTATAGTACTACAAAGATAAGGTATGGGAGATTGGGAAGAACCCAAGACTTTACCAAGGAAATTGCATTTCTCATAAATCCCTCATATGAGCTTATTTTGTTGTGATGTGCTTCTTTCCCTCCAGCATTTCTCCCCAGTTGAAGGGAAGAGTTAATTGAATAGTTCAGTTATTTGGGTTCTGATTGAGTGGATACTCAGTTTTCATTATTTAAGTGTATTTAAAGGCACCGAAATAAGAATGTCCTGTTTATAATTTATATTATTTAATATTTATTATAATAAACACTTCTAGAGCCACAAAATAATTCCTTAGAAATTGTTTTGCAGTTTGCCTGTATGCAAAAAAAAGAAAATTTCAGCCTTGCACATTGGGAAAAAATGTCAGAAGAGTCAGACAAAGATGAACAGCTCACAGATCAAACAACCGGTGATGAAGATGAACTGGTATGTTTTCTTTTATGCTACTTGGTTTTTGTAAAGCTCCCTAATGTAGCCTGCAAATTCTGAACTTAGTTGTTTTTATGAGTACTCTAGGATTCTTTATATGAAGCAGTGAATGTCATAAATACTGAAGTAATTTAATATTTAAATTGTTAAAGAATGCCATATGTTGAAAATGGTACATTTCAAGCACATGGAATTTGCCCTACCTAAAAAAAGAACATATTTAAATAAATCTATGATCTCATCACTGTGGATTTTCCCTCCACTAAAGTAGATCTCAACTCATCTATGCCTAACTATTCTGTGTTCTTCTTGAACTCTTGACTATATCTTCCCATAAGTTCACCACAGCCCCCCACCTCAGTAATCTACTAGTGGCCTGAATTGATGATATTATTTTGATTCAGTACTCTATCTAAGAAATTCTAGTTCTTCATTAAGATGTGGATATGAAATTAGGATTCATATTTCAAAATAATTCATATCCATTTAATTTTACACATCAAGTTTCCATCTTACATATCATCATAATAGGTTTACTGTGCCTTTGAGGTCACAGCGGACAAGGACTTAAATAGGGAAAGTAAAGAAACAAAAACATGGCTTTCTTTTGTAGTTATTTTAAACAGATAAATGCATCTGTTTTGCATATGTAAGCGATTTACTTGACTCCATTAAGTTAGAAATGATCATGCAAATTATGATTCTAAAGTAAACATGAAAAAAATGTAAAATCTTTGTTTCCTTTGCCACTATCATTCTTCTTCGTAATTTTAACCTTGTAATATGTTTTGCCGTGATTCCACCAACTTATTTAAACTTTAGTCTGTGGGTAGTACATTCAGCTGCACTGCTGCCTCAATCAGTTCTTTGATTTCCACCTAGCTACTACTATAGTAGGATTGGTGATACTTTTAGGCTTTTGGATTTGTTTATGTTTTAAAATAAATCTCTTGTTTTAGGATAGTGATACCTTTATGAAATTTGTAATCGAAGATCTCCATCGGTGTGCACTGCTTACAGGTTTGAGCTCACAAATTCACTTTTGATTCTGTTAATGATGACATTCTAAATTGGATGGAAAGTAGGAAGTTCTAGAGAAGTCGTAGCAATAGAGCATGTGGGGAGAATAAAATGAAAAATGGGTGGGAACAGACAGAGAAATTTGAGGTTCTTCTCATTTATTACCATGGTATAGTGGAAAGAATACTGGATTCAGAGTCAGTTGGAGGATCTGTGTTCAAATCGTGGCTGTATTTCTTTAGAATTAGGTCTGTGTGACTTTGGGCAAGTCAAACATCTCTGGCATTAGTTACCTCATTTAAAATGAAGAAATTGCAATAGATAATGTCTGAGGAACCTTCCAGCTCAAAATCCTACAATTCTATTACCATGATAAATGAGAATATTTTAGTGTACAGGCATACCTTGTTTTAAGTAAACTTTGACATATGGAATTCTAAATTAAAAATAAAATAAGGGTTGATTACTTTCTTTTTTAAATAAACTATTCCTATATTGGTAGTTTGACTTAATTTACAAGATACCAGCTACACATATCTTTGTGGAAGTACATGATAGTAGTAGTTCACGTTTATGTAGGTTTTCTGATGCAATGCTGCTTATAATCCTCTGGTTTTATCTATAATGTTTTGTAAATTGTCATGTACCCCTTGGCAGAAACATTAAATTTTGCTGGCTGAGGCTATTTCTAAACTTTTTTGACTAATGACAGGTGCCTGCTGTAGTAATTATTTTATATTCTAAAGTTTCCTAAGAAATAAAGAATGCCCCTAAAAGTCTTAGTGCAATTTTAAGATATTAAAGCTTTAATACACTAATAATCAAAGTAAAAGTAAATGTCTTTCCTTTTATCCATGTCCCATTTTTTAGTGTCAACAGATTTTTTTTTTTTTTTTTTCAAAATAGATCAGGGAACTACTATGGTCTGGTGTTGTAATCTTAATCTTTTAATTTAGTGTTGACTTGACCTTTGTTCTAATCAATGATCTCATTACACACCTGATTCTGAAACGACTCCCACCCACATTAGTAACAGATCTTTTAAGATGTTCTTGCCGCATTCAATGCCTTTTATTTATCTTCTTTAAGAGAATATATTCAGGCATGAGACTTCTAAATAATTTATAAGGCTTTAACCTTTTTCATGTAATAATCTTTGCAGCACATTTTTTCCACCATCTTCTCCTGTCCTCACCTTTACTTTGAAGTCACTTAGTATTAAGGTGTCTGTTGACTTGATTTGGAAGACACTATCAAATTCTTAGTCAGTGTCTAAACCAGATGGTGGTGCATAAGCTTTGTGGAGGTCTGTTTGTCAACCTTTATGAGCACTCAAGATGAAAGGAGCAAGTGTTGTGAAAGATGTTCGTGACATCATAGATCTGTAATTAGAAGGTACCTCAGTCCATTCTGAGGTTCTGGACCATCTAGTCAACACTTTCACTTTTCAAATGATGAGAGTGAAGCCCAGGGAGATTAAATGACTTTCCAAGGTCACTCAGGTAGTAAACATCAGACACAGAATTTGAACTCTGATCCTCTTGAGTACACAATCAGTGATCTTTCACACAGTTATTTGTCCTTTTCTTTGAGAGCTCTATTAAACCAGCACTGCCAAGATGTTCACTTCTCCAAGAGAATCTATGAAACTTCTTTGTGTCTCCTGGTTTTGTTTTTGAAAATGTCAATGGGGCATATTTCAGTTTCTCCAGTAGTGTATCAATTTAGTCATTGTCTGAAGATCTCATGGTAAAAGTAGAACAGTTAGAATTAATGTCCCTAAATTTTCTGAAACTTCTAATCTACTCCACATTTGTATCTCTTATGTGGCATCATGATTATAGAATTAATCACCTAGTAGTCAACCTATTGATTATCCCCTCTGTACTTACCTGAGTTGGTCCTTAGATAGCAGATACAGTCTGTCTTGGGGACCGCAAATGAAGTTTTTCCATCCTGATAGAACCTACAAGAGCCTGCACTCTGTTGGCAAAACCATTGAAAAGCTTTGGCTACCTCCATACTACAGTTAAGATTTTTAGCAGAGGGGAAAAGTGAAGCTACAGAAAGATTGGCCTAAAAGCCAACTAAGTCAGATCATCCTATGAACATTTATGTTATGTAAAATGGAACAGTTACGAGCATTTTCATAGTATTTAATCACCATTGAAAAGTGGGGTTACCGTATTTAAACTGCAATCTTAACATATACAATATGAAGTATGTGAAATAGAAGTACTTTAAGAAAATTAAGTTGGAAAGAGCTGTTGGATATCTCCAAATACAAATGAAATATGCATTGGAGATGACAAAATTTAAAGGTACATAGGGATCAAGTATCAAAGTATCTCAGAAAAGGGAAGATTATGTTATTATAATGGGATAGGCAAGAGGCAGTGAGCTTCTGAACCAAAGTGGTGGCTATGTGAGTGGAAAAGAGAAATGCAAGAGATGTTGCAGAGGTAGAAGTAACAAAATTTGGGAACTGATTAGATAGGAGGGGTGAAAGAGGGGATGAATCCAGGATGACTCCAAGATTACATATTTAGATGACCTCAGCAGAAATGGCAACCTCTAGAACATATATGCAGATATTAGGGATAGATGATTAGTTACATTTTAGACATTCTAAGACAGAGAATTTGTTGAGAAGTCCAGGTGGGGATATCCAAGAGGTAATTGGAGGTATCTGGAGTTGAGAAGAAAAGAAGGGCAGGGCTGTATAGCAAGATTTAGGAGTCATTGTGTAAAGTTAATTAAATCCATGGGAACTGATAAGTTCACAGTTATCTCTAGATCCTGACAGTAATTATTTGTAGCAGTGTGGCCATCACCTATGGAATCTACCCACCCCACCCCCAACCCCCACCATCTGCCAATGTGTGAGTATAGGTTGAGGTGATCGAGCCAAGCAAGAAATAGAAAAGAGAAGAGAAATCTCTAGCCTATGTTATAAATCTCCCTATGCATCTCTGAATTCTTCATGTTCATCATTTCTTAATAGTGTAGTAATATCACATTAAATTAACTTACCATAATTTATTTAGCCATTCCATAGACAATGGGCACCTACATTCCAGTTCTCTGCCATCACAAAAAGCGTTACTATATTTTTGTGTATATGGGACCTTTCTGCCTTTGACTTCCTTGGTATATATGACTACCAGTGGACTCTATGAATCAAAGGAAATGGATATTTTAAACACACTTTAAGCATAATTCCAAATTGCTTTCTAGAATTGTTAGACCAGTTTGCAGCTCTACCAACTGAGTATCTGTCTTGGGCTACTAGATGGCATAATAGATAGAGTGCCAGGTCTAATGTCAGGAAGATTCATTGTCTTGAATTCAAATCTGGCCTCAGATACTTACTAGCTGTGTGACCCTGGGCAAGTCACTTAACCCTGCTTGCCTTAGTTTCCTCATCTGCAAAACAAGCTGGAGAAGGAAATGGCAAACCTCTCTGATGTCTTTGTCAGGAAAACTCCAAATAGGGTCACAAAGAGTTGGACGTGGCCGAAATGACTGAACAGCAGCAACACCTCTCTGTGGATTGGAGAGTTTGTTTAAAGACAGGATGCCAGCGCCTTTGCAGACACAGATGGGAAGGAAGTACTGGAGAGGCCGAAGAGGATGAAGAACTTTATGGAAGTGGAGAGTTAGTCTGAGGAAAGGAGGACGCCTATTTGTTATAACCAGGAAGAAGAATGATGGAGAAATGGTAGAGTAGAAAAAGAAATATTTAGGGGTCAAGAAAGGGCTGATGGCTTTGATCTCAGGTGGGGTTTAAAGCAAAAGATGTGAGCAATATCAGGAACTTGAGGATAACAAAAGAGTCTTGGAAAAGCTATTTGGGGAGTGTGCTAAAGATAAAAAGAATGACCAAGTAGCAGCAAAATTAAACAGTATATATTAAATTAGATAATGTTAATGTGTCGTGTGGTAACCTGGAGGCAGTGTGGCATATAGTGGAAATATCCTTGGATTTGGAGTCAGAGGACCTGGGTTCCGATCTCAGTTCTTCCACTTATTAACTATGTTACCTTAGACAAGTCATACAACTTTAACTTCTCTGGGCCTCAGTTTCTGCATATGTAAGATTAAAGGGTTAGACTAGATGACCTATACAGTTCCTTCCAATAAATCAACACAATTATTTGATTCTCCAGCAACACTCAGAAGTCCTCTTCCAGGGAATAGAGAAAGTAGTTCATGGGAGTGGTTCCTGGTTAAGGATTAGCACACCTGAAAGTTAAGAGGTTGAGATTAATACAGGTTAAGGTTTCATTGATGTCACTGACCCTGCAGTAAAGGGAGTCAAGTTAATAAATGGAGTTAATGAATTGAGAGATGTTAAGAGATTGGAGAGCTAGGATGGGGGGCTAGAGGGAGGTAAAGAAGTAGAAGGCAAAATGCAAGTATCCAAAATAGAGAAACTGAGTTTGATATTTCAGAGTTCCAGAGTATGACCACCGTTGGTTTGTGGTTGATGCAGAACATTGCGAACATTGATTAGGTTGCATCAGCACCTTAACTGCATTGGGGTTTTTGGGAGTATTTCCCCTTTGAAGGTGCCCAGTCTCCAGCCAGAAATACAGCTTTTCAGTTGTTTGCATTTTAAGGTTTCCATTAACTAGATGTGGAGCCACAGTTGTACAGAATACCTACAGTTTGCCTTATCTTTCTTTAATAATAGCCAAAATTTATATAGCACTTCAAGGTCTACAAAATCCTTTACTTAATCATTAGTATATTTCTGAGGCAGTTATACAAGGCTTTATGGGACCTTGTTGGGCCAAAGACATATTAAAAGACTGTTAAGAATTGGGGGAAAGGAAAGAAAAGAACTTTTTCCTCCGAGGTTGTTTTTTGTGTTTGTTCAAATTTATTTGCATGGGGGATATAAAGCATTTTGGGGACCTTTGATAAGACTGCAAGTGGGTCAGACTTACACAAATCTGTAGGATTCCTTTAATACAGTCCTCCTAAATTTAGATGGGGGCATATGATTCCTATGAGGAAATAATGCAACGTCACATGAATTTTCTGATCCCAGGTCAGAGTGAAGCTTTGAAAGAGATGTTTCCTTTGGTGACTAGGAAATACAAGTTTAAAAAAGAGAGAGAGAGAGAGAGATTTAAACCCGAGGGTACCAGTTAGGTACAGTAACTCTATGTTACTTAAGAGTGTGGTGTCTGTGGTGAAGAATTGTCTTCTGGAGAGGAAACACCCATTCTAGTCTGCAATGGTTCTGAGTTACAGGCAAGACCTATTGTAGGAAAAAAAGCTGCTAAGGGATTTTTCTTTTTCAAATGATAGTGTGTCTGGACCTTGCTTTTCTAAAAGAGATATAGCAAAAGGCCTCTGTGATTTCAGTAAAAGAGCAATGGCAGAGTCCATTCTTCTTAAGATGAGAAAGTAGCTCCTCAAATGAAGACCATGCCTGATGCCAGAAGCTGGCAGCAGAAAGAAGCTCCATGAAGAAGTGCCCAAAGGAGCCACACCTGCCAATGTCCAATACAGTGATGTCAACAGAGACCATTATTACTGGATACTGCACATCCAGCAGAGAGTAAATCAGCATACATTTCTTAAGTACCTACTACAAGCTAGGCACTGGGTATACATACAGCAAAATGAAATGATCCCTGCCTTCAAGAGCTCATTCTGCTAAGGGGAACAACATATATGAATATAAACATATAAAAAATATAGACAAAGAAAAAGCAAGGTGATTTGGGGGCAAGGGGAGCCGTTCACACAAGATGAGCAAGGAGTATGAATGGCATGAAAAGTGCCACCACCTCACCTAAAGATATATTCCTGAAAAGTTGTATGTGGATAGAATTTTAGAATTAAAATTATATTTAAAATGAAATGAAATATTTACTCTATATAGGCATACCATAGTGAATTTTTTAATTAAAAAAACCCCCCTCGCATCTTTTTTAAGAAAATGAATTTTAAATCTAGAAATCTAATTTCATTACAGTATTACAAAGAATAATTCTATGTAACAGCCATTTCCATTTGTTAATAGAGAGGTTCATCACCAGAAGGGTAGCCACTAAGTGAAGAATTTTTTAGCCATAGCAACTCATCAGGCCGTTTGCTAAGTTGTGGAGGGGTTTTGATCTGCATTAGTGCAAAGACTGCTCATACCGGTGAAATGACAGGCCTTTTAAAGAAATTTTTGGTGTATAGAAATAATGAAGAAATCACTTAAATTCTTTCTTTGCAAGGAATAAAACTCTTTTAAGGTGGTTTCTGTTCACATAATAAATATAATAAAACAACTTATTTTATTGTGTGCTGTTTGTAGTATGAGGAAAAAGGAAAGGTAATCTGTAGCTAAGCTCCTTAAACTTCTGTTCCATTATCAAATGGCATTTACATCCTTCTAATTTCTCCTTGATTCAAATATCCTAATTATATAACAAAACCAATTCAAAATTTGAAGCTACAACAAAAACAAAAGAACACACAAAAAAGATCCAGGGGGCTTGTGAGTAAGAAAAAGGAAGAGTTGTGTACCTGATTTCTTTTCACTTTTGAATTCACTGTGGAGAAGCAGGTTATCAGTTCATTTTCATTTTTGTGGTAATAACAGTTCACATTCATATAAGCATTAAAGTTTGCAAGCAGTTTATGTAAAATATCTCCTTAGTCTTAAAATAATTCTGCAAGAAAAGTGCAAACCTCGCCCTCTCCCCACCCTGTCCTTCCCCTGGCCCTCATTTTTCAGATGAGGAAACAGGCTAACAGAGATTACATGACTTGCCCACGGTCTCCTAGCTAATAAGGGTATGTCTAAAGCAGTATTAAATCGAGATCTTCTTGACTCTGAGTCCAAAACACTATTCGTAGCACTTTGCTGACTCTTGGATCATCCAGACTAAGAATGTAATATCCAGCAATGTATTTACTTATTTTACCATAATTCCATTACACCATAACTGGGATGCCTTATAGAGTTGGTAATAAAATAATTTTTTCTATATTAAGTTTGCTTAAAATTAGGTACATCTGTTTACCAAAAAAGTAATATTTGGTAAATAAAAGGTGTTATGCAAATGCCAAATAATTGTTAATAATTTTGGTAGAGGAAAAACTTTGTTTAATGAATTCAAATGATATTGAAGAAACAAAGGAAACTTAAAACATGAACACTTTTGTGATTTTGTGTTTGCCCCCAATCAGCCCTTTGCTTGCATTTGCCTTCTAACAGATGCTACTGGTGACCAGTCTTTACCTCGGACTACACAGATTTTGTTGGAATATCAGCTAGGGAGATGGGTACCACGTCTTCGTGAGCCCCGAGACCTATATGGTGTCTCTTCATCTGGTCCACTGAGTCAGACACGATGGCCATGTCACTGTGAAGTAGTTGAAGAGAAAATCCTGCACATTGGTATGTCCTTATCAGCTGCATTTAGGATATAAAGCATAGCAAACTTACTTTACCAATCTAAGGAGATTCATGACCAGAAAAGGGATTGGGAAGCTTCAGCCACCTCTGGATATGGGGCTTAAAATGTGTAAGAAATTTGGTAATCCTGCGTATTTGCGACCATCAGTGCTGTGCTCTATATTAGCCAGACCAATACTCCACTCCATAACCTCACACCCCTCCTCCCTTCTCCCCCACGCAGATAGAGACTTAGCCATAGTTTTTGGGTACTACATGGTTCCATTCTGATTCAAGCAATATACAATAAATTGGTCTCTGAGACAGGTGCAGGGGTAGGAACTTTTAGAGCTTTGACTAACAATCACGAACTTACTTAGCCTCTGTACTTAAAGCTTTCTCTTTTTACATTTTCCCCCTTATTCTCTTTGTTATTCTCTTGACCATAATGTTTGTTTCCAAGACAAATGCCTTTCTTGCCAGCCCAGTCAGTAATACTATAGAACTTTGGAAAGCAGTAATTCAATTAATCACAACTTTCCCTCTTCTTACCATATATAAAGGCTAAATCTGTCCAATGCTAACACATAAAGGGTAGGTCTTACACTTTATGAATGACAACTGATTTTACTGGTGCTCATAGTTCCCTAGCTAATGAAGTAGGTTCATACCAAAAGAAAAACATTTGAACTTATTACAGTAATTATTTTCATGCAAATGGATAGTTCTAAAGGGCTTTCAAATATTTCTTAATTGGGTTGAATATTTTGTACTCTTGTTTCATGCACAACTCAATTTAACAAACTATTTTTACATAATAATTTTGTTGTATATTTGAAAGTAATAGAATAGTAGATTTGCAGTTTCATGTACAATCTTCTTTTTTGTTGTGCTATATTATGGAAATGCTTGTTTTATTCTGTAAATTAAAAATAAAACTAAAAATTTTAATATATTTCATTTCCCCCCAATTACATGTTAAAACAATTTTTAATTTTTTATAAAGTTTTGACTTCCAAATTTTATCCCTCCTTTCCCCCTCGAGAGGATAAACAATTAGATATAGGTTATATATATATAATCATGTAAAACACTTCCATATTAGTCATTTTGTACAAGAAGACTCAAATAAAAGAAAAAGAATGAAAGAAAGAAAGTGAAAAATAGAGTGCTTCAGTCTGTATTCAAACTATCAGTTCTTTCTCTGGAGGCAGATAGTATGTTTCATTATTTTGGAATTGTTCTTGGATCATGGTATTGCTGAGAATAGCTAAGTCATTCACAGTTCTTTATCAAACAATATTGCTGTTACTTGTGTACAATGTTCTGGTTCTGTTCACTTCACTTTGCATCAGTTCATGTAAGTCCAGGTTTTTCTGAAATCATCCTACCTGTCATTTCTTATAGTACAATAATATTCCATCATAATCACATAACACAGGTTGTTTAGCCATTCCCCATGTGAATATTTTTATACAAATAGGTCCTTTGCTCCCCCACCTTTTTCACGTCTTGGGATATAGACCTAGAAGTGCTGTTGCTAGATCAAAGGGTATGCACAGTTTTGTAGCCCTTTGGACAGAGTTCCAAATTGCTCTGCAAAATGGTTGGTTTAGTTCACAGCTCCACCAACAGTGCATTAGTGTCCCAGTTTCCAACATCCCCTTCAACATCCATCATTTTCCTTTTTTGTCATATTAGCCAATCTGATAGATGTGAGATGGTATCTCAAGAGTTGTTTTAATTTGCATTTCTCTAATTAGAGCATTTTTTCATATGACTATAGATAGCTTTGATTTTTTTTTTTGTCTTAAAACTGCCTGTTCATATCTTTTGGCCATTTATCAATTGGAGAATGACTTGTATTTTTATAAATTTGACTCAATGAGGACTTTATCAGAAGTACTTGTTAAAAAAAATTTCCCTGGTTTTCTGCGTTACTTTTAATTTTGGTTGCATTGGTTTTGTTTGTGCAAAATTTTTTAAATTTTATATAATAAAAATTATCTGTTTTACATTTTGTAATGCTCTCGCTTTATTTTTTTGGTCCTAAATTCTTCTCTTATTCATAGAACTGGCAAATAAACTATTCCATGCTCTCCTATTTTGTTTATGGTATCACACATTATGTGTAAATCATGTACCCATTTTGACCTTATCTTGGCATATGGTATGAGATGTTGGTCTATACCTAGTTTCTGTCACCCTAGAGGTAATAGGCAGCTGCTGGAATTTATTGAGTAAGGGAGTTGGGGGGAAGGGAGGTATGTTTACATGATCAGACCTGTATTTTAGGAAAATCATTTTAGGGGTTATAGTCTTAATCATCACAAAAACAAATATTTGAATGCACAAAGAAGAATAAAAAGTACAATTACATAAGTAATCATAAATGTCTTTAAATTTATTATAAAAATAGTATATTGTTTAAATATTAAATTAATAAAATTAAAATTAAATATTAAATTAATAAATTAATTTAAATATTAAATTTTAAAATATGTTTATAAAATTGTTCTGTACTTTACCATATATCTTTTTATTGTTTTTTAAATTTAATTATTTTGTTCCAACTTAAAATTTGTTCCAAACATCAAATAACATGAACATTTCCATATACAAATTAGAACATAAAGACTGTATTACATATAGTTTGCTTTTTCATTTAAGTATAAAATAAATTCAAATGTAACTTTCAAACTGGTCCTGCTTATCTGTGTTTCTTTCTAGACCTCAATCAGTTCTTTTCTCTGCATTTAGATACTTAAATGACTCTTTATTTCTCTTTCTTTTTTATCTTATCAGTATTCTGCCCTTCTTCCCCCAACTACTGCCCTACAATTGAAGAAAAAAGAAAAATAAAACAGTTGTAATAAATATGAATAGTCAAGCAAAACAAATTCCTACATTGGCTACATACAAATATGTGTGCCTGATTCTGTAGCTTGAGTCCACCACCTCTCTGTCAGGAGGTAAATAGAATGTTTCATCATTGGTCATCTGGAATTGTGATTGGCATTTTATTGTTCAGAATTCTTAATTCTTTCAAAGTTGCTTTTCTTCACAAACATTCTTATTGTACAAATTGTTCTCTGAGTTCTGCTCACTTTAATATGCATCAGTTCATATAAATCTTCCCATATTTCTCTGAAACCACCAAACCACAATGATATTGCATTACATTCATAACCATAATTTGTCATTCTTCCATTGATAGGCATTGTTTTACTTTGTTTCTAGTTCTTTGCTAGAACTAAAAGAGCTACTGTAAATATTTTGTACATATGGATCCCATTCCTCTTTCTTTGATCTTCTGGGTGTATTATTCTAGGAGTAGTATCAGTGGGTCAAAAGGCATGAACAATTTAGTGACTTTAGGAATGTTACTATACATTACTTTTCAGAATGGTGAGATCAGTTAATAGGTGCACCAATAATGCATTAATTAGTTTGCCTGTTTTCCCATGTCCCCTTTGTCATTTTCCTTTTTTTTTTTCATTTTTGCCTATCTGATGGATATGAGATAGCACCTCAGAGTTTTTGAATGTTTTTTTCTCTTATTAGTAATTTGAGGCATTTTTCACATGGGAGCTGCTAGCTTGGATTTATTCCTTTAAGGATGACATGTTCATATCCTTTGACCATTTAGCTATTGGAGAATGTCTTTTGTTTTTATATACAAGATATCCCAAAAGTCTTAGTACAATTTTAAGCTACTGAAGCTTAAAACTCAGTATTTGAATAAATTTCTTATGTATCTTATATGTTGGACCTTTATCAGAGAAATTTACTACAAAGATTTTTTTCCTAGGTAACTCCCTTTTAATTTCAACTGCATTGGTTTTATTTGGCAAAACCTTTTAAAAATTTATATACTGAAAAGTGTCCATTTTATCTTCTGGGATCTTTCCTCTTCCTTATTTGGTCATGAACTCTTCTCTGTTCATAGTTTTAAAAGATATTTCTTTCTTTTCTTCTCTAACTGGTTTACAATGTGATTTTTTTTATATCTAAGACATATCTATTGGACCTTGTCTTGCATATAATGTGAGGTGCTATTCTAAACCTAATTTCTGTCAGACTACTTTTCCAGTTTTTGCAGCAGTTTCTCCCTGTCCCCCTCTCCCCTCCTCCCTCTTCCAAATATTGAGTCCTTAGTCCTGTAGCTGGGATCTTTGGGTTTATTGAACATTATGTTATGGTATTTGTTAACTTCTGTACTGTGTACCTAATCTGTTCTACTAGTTGACTTTTCTATTTTTAAAATATCAAATAGTTTTTGATGTTTTCATACAGCTTTGTAGTATAGTCTGATATCTAGTGTTTAATATGCAGCGCTTAACACCGTGCCGCACATAGGAGACAATAAGTGTTTATTGATTAATTAATTTGTTGGTGTTATTAAGCCCCCGTATTAGAAAGGGGAAAGACAGTGTGCAAGAAGATCAATTAGGAGGTTGTAGTAGTGGTCCAGTTGAGAAGTGAAGAGGCCTGAATTAGGGTGGTTGAAGTGTGAATAGAGAGAAGATGGCTGCAAGAAATATAAAATTACTTTGTATTTATTTTGTTTAAATTTTGTATTAATATTTGCATGAATGCTGTTTTCCCCAGTAGAATGCAAGTTCCATGACAGTTTTGTTCTTAAGATCCTTCCATTTCTCATGAGCTGACTCACAGCTATAGGCTTTTGCTTATCCTATCTCTACCTTCTTTGAAGTCTAAAGTACACGTCAGGCTCTGCTAGTGTTCACTTTCTTATCTATCACTTATTCTTAAGACCCCATGGTTACTGTCTTCCTCTGACTCAATGTCATTGATCCTTCCACTGCTTCTCTTATCAGGTCTAAATAGCAGTACTTCTTATCATTTCTTCTGCCTTCTGAGGTATATATGAAATTTCTAGCAAAGTATTTCAAGAGTTTATCAGCTGCTCTGCTTTTAGCAGAAAGAAACCTCCAGCAGATATCAAAATAGTTGAAGTTCCCTGTCATTGCTCTAGCCTATGTCCTATATCTTTGTGATCTGAGCCCTTTTAACCAAATAGAACAAGTTTAATTTCTCTGCCATGTGACCATGATGCAGATATTTGAAGATTCTCTTCCTCCAAAATTATTCTCTTCTCCAGATCAAATATATCCAGTTCCTTCAACCCATCCTTCTCTGACCCCTTTTCAAGTCTCCTCAGCATCCTGATTCCTTTCTCCTGGGTTTACTTTAATTTGTCAGTGTATCTTCTAAAATGTAGCTCCCCAAACAGGGATACATATTTCAGATTTCGTTTAATCAGAGCAAAAAATATCGGTGCTCCTACCTCCTTCACTCTGGCCCATTTGCATAAGCCTAAAGTCACATCACCCCCACCCCATCACACCCTCTCCCCTTCCTGGGGCATAAAGGAGTTCTGATCTGTATTGGATGAGAGAAAACCCAAATGATGAAATTATGGATCCTTGAAGTACTGAATTAAGATCAGATGTGATACTTTGGCTGTCATCTTTCAGCTGACTCACATTGAGCTTGCAATTCAGTAAAACTCATAGGTTTTTTTCCACATGAACTTTACTTTGATGTCTTTCCCACATACATATACCATCTTTTAATTTTATAATTTATTTTTAAACTCAATATCCAAACTGAAACAAATCTCTAATCATCTAGTTAAACTCTAGAAATATATCTTC